GAGAACTAAAAGCCAAAGAAGCCATTGTTAAAACTCCCAGTCACATCAAGTAAACTTCTCAGACCAACCCATCCTCTTCTTTTGTCGGGTTTCTTTGACTATGTCCTTCTCTGCAGGAAGAAAATGTCCTAGAGTTGACAAGTCAGTAGCCTACATTGTGTCCAAAAGATTAGTCAAAATGAATGACCAATAATTCGTTAAGTTAATACCAGGTTAATAGCTTTTTGGCATCCTTTGAAATTGATCAATTTTAAATATTAAGTTGGAATTGAAAGATCATGAGAAATTGTTAATAGAATATGTATATATATGAAAAAACCATGCAAATACATCTGCATTTTTATGCAAAAGTATTTTAAATAAAAGATTTGATGTTTTCCATGCAAACATGGATTACATTAAGTGTATGCAGTGGTCAACGCCATACATTTTTTTTTTTTTTTTTTTTTTTTGTCCTTTTTGTGACAGGGTCTCACTATGCAGATCAGGCTGACCTTGAGCTCACTTTGTAGCCCAGGCTGGTCTTGAACTCACAAGGATCCTCCTACCTCAGCCTCCCATGTGCTGGGATTACAGGCGTGAGCCACCATGCCCGGCAAAGCCATACAATTGTAACTTACAATCTTTGCATCTCCTTGTATATAAGTTGTGCCTCAATTAAAAATAAAAATAATCATGACTCTCAAGGCAAAAACAAAAAAAACAAGGAGTGTGAGAAGCTGTCATTGCACGTCTGAGGAGTAAACATAATGAGATATCTCAGATAGAATCCAAGAGTAAAAAAGGGCAAGTGCAAAATGAATGAAATCCAAATGCAGTATGACGTCTATTAATAGTAATGTGTTAATATTAGCTCATTCATTGTGACAAATGGACCACACTAATGTAGTTAATCCCAGCTAACAATAGTATTAGCAAGAGGTAAGACTGGGGGTGGTAGTCTAAAAGTATTCTAAAATTTTAAAAAGCTTATTTAGAAAATAGAAACGTGGGATAGGAAGGAAGATGATTGTGTACCAGGTACTCTAGACACCGAAGGGAGGTCAAGGTAATAAACATTAAAACATAAGCGTGCATTCTGTTTCAAGTACTAGGTGCAAAGTAGCCAGAGAGAGTGTTGTTGTTGTTGTTTTTAATCCGATGGGCATTGGTACTGACTAGCTTACCCTTCTATCCGTTTACTTTCTCTTAATAAAACAGTTCAGACTTTACATTATATTTCATGCGGGCTAACGTTAAATAGGGGTTGTACACAAGGAAATGGCAAGGAACTAAATAAACAGCACAGATTTTTGGTACACGCATGATCCTCATTGTAAATGATTTCAAATCCACGATTCCCTCCTGCTTAAGTGTACCAGCACAAACCACACACACATTATTTATATACAAAAATTTCATTCTCTGCCTGCCGAAACGTTTTCTTCCCGGGCGCGTGTGTATACAGAGGTGTAAAAGTGGCTTACAATGCCCGGTGCCTCTTTGTTAAATACGCCTTCACGCTATACCCTGCAGTCGTCGTGACTGAGCCCTTTGCTGCACGGGAATCTTCCTCAGCATTTCCTGGAGTCCCTGAGCCGCAGGGACCAGCCCACCCCAGAAGCAGCGCCCGGGCGGCTGCAGGGCGCAGGGGTGCCGCACACCTCGGGAGGCAGCAGCCCCTGCCTTTGTGCAGCTCCATCCAGAGCTGCGTCCGCAGGACGCTCCTGGGGCGACAGGTCAACATTTCAGGAGGGAGGCTGATGGAGAGGCCCGGAGCCAGCGTGGACAACGAAGGCCAGGAGCGGAAGGAGCAGGCTGCCTGCCGCGGCCGCCACGCCGAACACTCGGTCCCGCGCACCTCCAGCCACCCGGGCTCTGCGCCGCGTCGCCATGGGAACCAAAGCGCTCGCGGCGGGGGCAGGGACCGAACGCGGGGCACGCGGTGCAGGGCCTGCGTGGCGGGAGCCCCCTCGCCCGTCCCGGGCGTCCGCGGCGCCCTGTGACCCCATCTGCGGGAGGACGCGGCCGGCGCCGTCGTCTCGGAGGAGCGAGTTCGAGGCCGGGTGCATTTCCCGCGGGTGCATTTCCCGGCCTGCAGGAAAAGGACCGTCACCGGCCCTCGCTCGGCCGTTTCCCCAAGGCGCCGTTTGTGCCCGAAGCCCGACACCTTTTCGGGTGTTAATAAACATCCAGACTCGGCGGCGCCTGCACCCCGGGCCGTGCAGCTGGCACCCGGAGAAGCGCGGGCGACGGCCCCGCTGCTCTCGCCGAGCTTTCTCCTCCCCGGTCATCGCGCAGCCCCGAGCGCGGGCGTGCGGGTCCGCTCCGGGCTATAAATATGTATACACCTCCCGCCCCGACTCCGGGCTCCATTATCTGCGCTTAATTGAAGCGCAACTGGAACCCCAGCCTCCTGCCACCAGACATCCCGGGGCCGGACCGCTGCGACTCTGGCCCGGAGGCTCCCTCTGCGCAAAGTCGCTCTTTGTGCTCCAAACCCTCTTTGTGCCCGCCTCTACGAGTCACCACCGGTCCGGAGCCGCGGGGCAGCGTGGTCTCCCGGGTGGGTTGCCCGCGCCCGCGCTCGCGCTCTCGGGTCCCCCCCGCTCTTCCCACCGCGAGCGGCCTGCGTCTCCATCCCTCGCTCCAAGTACTCCAGCCACAGAGCAGCAGCGCCCAGGGGGCTGGCAGGTCGGGGTGGCCCGAAGGCACCTGCGGCTCCTGCGTGCTGGCCAAGGCCTGCGCAGCGCAGCTGGGCTCCTCGTGCCGAGCAGCTCGGCCCGCGCGCCCAGCCTGCCCGGTACCCTGCTTCCTCGGGTCTTCGCCCCGCACCGCTGCGGCCAGCTCACCGCTGCAGGGTGCAGACGCTCCTCTGGGGCTGGCGCCTGGGTGGGAGTCTGGGGCCTCTGCAGTCGCCTGCCATCCACTGTGTAGCTCCGGGACGCCCAGCTGGCAGCGTCCCTTGCAGGCCTTCCTGGCACCGTGCGCGCGGTCCGGCCCTGGAAAGCCCAGCGTCGCTGGTCCAGGGACCGCGGCAGACGCGGGAGCCAGGTGGGGAGACTCGCCCGGCTCTCTGTTCGCCCTATTCCAGTTCCAGGCCGGGCGGATGGCTGAGGCGCACTCCCTGGAGTAGCAACTGAAGACAGCGGCTTCCAGAAAAAAGTTCAAATTGCAGAATGAGGATGTAGATAAAACACCCATATTAGTCAAATTAGCACACCTTCTATTTCAATTTAAAACGCAGACCTGTTTCAGAGTCCCAGTCCAATAAAAGTTATGTGTTCAGCAACTTGAAATGTCACCAATCGGTTGGTAGTTAGAGTTTGATGAACGCTGTCTACCAAAATGACAAAAAAGAAATCCACTTTAGGTACTTCAAGACTGTAGCAACTGTAGATAAGGCTTCAGGGGCAAGGTCTGCTTTTCTCCTGGCCACATCAAAAGTCTGCTCTATCGGGTGGGCTCAAGCCTCTGCTAGCCCACAGTTAGCTGAAGGCCATTTGCTGGCAGGGAGCGGTTGTTTTGGTGGTTGGGCAAGAAGTCAGAAGAACCAGAGAACCAGGCAGCTTTGGGTTTTCCCAGCCTCCAGGTCAGGGAGTGGAGAGAGAGAGGGGCAGGAGGAGCTGAATAGGGACAGAAGAGCGAGACAATGGGTGACAGCTGTGGACCTCTGGGCAGGCCAGCGTGATCTGGGCAGTATTAAAGTCTAGGGAGCTACAATTAGAAATTGTGGGGTTGTCATCCTCAACAGACACCCTGCATTGAATCCGGCCCCAGAACTCCCTCTGCTGTGGTGGGCAGTGGGCGGTGGGCAGAGGCTCCCGTGGTGGGAGCTGGGCAGCCACAAAAGCCTCTTATGGCTTAGGAGAGCGGAGATTAGCATCTGGAAATCTACTGGAGAGATTCTCACTTAGATTGTCCTGTAAACTCTCTTATCCAGACCAAGAAGGGTTCTACAAGATGGAGGCAAAGATTATTTCTTTTATCTTTCTCAGTTTTTCTGAAATTGGTTTTTATTTGTATAAATCACTTCTTATTTTTGATGAGAATCTCATGTTACCCAGGCAAATCTCAAATTCATAATCCTCCTGCCTCAGCCTTCAGAGTGGCTAGGGAGTCTCTTGGCAATGTATCTGGTTTACAGATAGGTCTTTAAAAGTGACTCTTTTCTAATAATAGTCTTGAGTTCTTTCCCTGTTTTCTCTCTGCTCTCTCTTATACTCTCCCACGACACATGCGAATCTGCCCAGTTTGTATTTCACGTTACACTTTTTACATAGCTTGATAAAGATCAAAGTCATGTACCAACTTGTCTCTCTGAAACCCTGTGCGTGCCTTGTCTTACCTGACAGTAAAAGTCTAAATGCTGTTTTTAAATTCTGTCAGCTCAGCCGCCCTCGACCCTCTTGAGAGAATGCAATGTTACAACAGGGCCTAGAAAACTGTTGTCTGTGGCTGGCTGGCTGGGTCAGGTTTTGAGGGGCTTGGAGAAGGAGCAGGTGAGAGCTCGGATGAGTGATCTCCTCAGCCCTGTGCTGCACTGGGCAGCAGAACATCACAGCAATAGGCTGTCCACTGTCACAGGGCTGCAGCTCGGCCAGCTTGGGCCTTATGGCTCACACGTATAGAAGCAGAAGCTGAGAACCAGAGAGATGCGGTGAGCGACTTTGGCCATCTGTAGAGTGCAGCAGTCGTGTCTGTCCTGGGCTCTTGTCACTGTTCTAGTCACTTTGCACTGAGCAGGAGACCCTGTCAGTCTTTGGAGCCATTGTTTTGCTGGGGAATTCTTACTGCATCTCCAGAAGCGTGCACAGCACAGCACTGCAAAGCCCAATGGGCATGAGATCCCCTAGGGAACCCGGGTGCAGCACAGGCTGTGGAGCCAGACACAGGCAGGAGCCAGGTCGATCCACAGGACCAGACCCCCAGCTGGAGGATTTTGTGCATAAGCAGGAGACCTCTTATCTTTTCAATTTTTATTTATTTTTGGGTGGTGCCAGGGGCTGAACCCAGACCTCAGCACTCTAAGCACATGTTTTCTCACTGAGCTTCACCAGAAATCCTGTACCCTAGTGAAGAGAGCAGCGGGACAGGCATCACTTCTGGCTCTGTGATACTGATGGGTGCCGTCCCTCCCTTCCCTCTCTCTGTGTTTCACCCGACTGACTGTACCCAGGCCCAGACAACTGGCCTTGCTAGCAAGGCTGCCCACGGACTGCGACACTTTTGTTTTCCCTTAGAAGCTGCAGGGTGTGACATTTATTAGTCTAGCCAGTCAGCCCTCTCAGACCTGCAACACCTACTATATTTTATAGAGCACAGCAGTGCAGATGCACCCGCCACTGTGGTCAGTCGTGAAAACCAGCACTCCTCCACACCTCATACCTGGCCCAGGGCCTGGCGGGAGGCGCCCGGGACCTGAAACAATCAGACAGTGAGTCTGTCTCCTTTTTGCTTGCGTTTTTATATTTGTTAGACTTGTTCCTGTCCTCTGCCTGTTGGCACTGAAAGTTCCAGAAAGAGGTAGGTAGGTGTATAGGAAGTGAGAAGACGATTTTCTTTGCAGGTAGGGCAGGCCTAATGGGCATTTAGGGAACTGAAGATTTTTATAAACTACTTATAAATGTGTGACAAATGAGTGCTCAGCTGTCTTTCACCAAAGCTTCGAGGCCAGTCGGTAGCAACAGCTGATGTTAATAAACATTAACCATGTACGTGGTCCTGTGTGAAGCATCTGATGCATGCAACTCATTTCATCTTCGTGGAAACCTTGTAGGGTGATTACTCTGCCTACATTATTTTCTTTTACTATATTTTGCTTTATTTTTGAGACAGGGTTTCTCTATGAAGTTCAGGCTGGCCTTCTACTCATTTCATAGCCCAGACTGGTCTCAAACTCTTGGCAACCCTCCTGCCTCAGCCTGCTGAGTGCTGGGATTACAGGTGTGTGCCAGCATGCCTGGCCTATTCATTCATTTTAAAGGAAATTGAAATGTTAAAGATTTTCTATAGCAATGCTGATAGGCAGCTAAGTCAGGATTTGACTAAATTTTGTACCAGTATATTTGAATGATCTCTTTTTTATATATATAATAATTCTTGACTTTTATAACTGATTAAAATACAGTCCTGAGATTAGCCTTGTTAACACTTTTGTAGGCTCTATTAAAGAATAGTTTCATGATTTAAATGACTGCTTTTGCAGCATTACTAGATAATTTGGTAGTAATTTAATTAAACTATTATTTACCAAAGCTTCTTGAGCTTGATAATTATGATATTAATTAGGGGGTAAACTATCTCCATTCTAACAAGTTATGCTCAAGCTTGGTTGGAATAGGACACTTCTTTTTTGGCATTTTTTACTACTGACATTAAGGTACTTAACTAAAACTATGTAAACAAGCTTAGAAAGACTTTAAATATAATAACTTTAAATTTACTAATAACATATTTCTTTTAACAGGAACAAGATAAATATCTCTGCTTTTTAAAAAATGTGTTTATTTGTAAAAATATTTTAAAACAAAGAATAGAAATAATTTATCTTGCAGGTCAACAGAGTAATCAGAAAGGATAAATTTTGTTGCCAACTCAGATTTAGTTTTTGTGCATACATTTTAGCCAAATGGAAAAGAAAAATACCTCTGTAATCTTCTCCATAGTTTGCCAGATAGCCTGTGGGACCCGCATGATTGTTCTATCTTCATTATAAAGGTTTTTCAGGAGGTGGGGACTGGAAATACCACTTTCTTCAGATTAAAGACATAATCTTTAACCATATGCCCTAAAGTTGTGCATTTTAGCATATATGCAACGTGCACATACACTGAATCTTTAAAGCCCATTCACGGAGGGTTTTTACACACCTCTGCCTTACCTTGCTCATGGGTGGTTACCCTGCCAAGAGGACACCCTCTGTCCAGAAGGAGCCTTATTAGAAGGGGCTTCTCTCACTCGCCGAGTTCTCACTGTCTCCCCCACATACGCTTGTACCCTGTTTTATAAAGAATTGAGTCTAGATCTTCTGGGTTTTCAGGACCCACCAGAGTCACACTAGTACTGGGCACGGAGAGTAGGGCAGCGCCCTGCTTTTCCTCTAACAGCGCAGAAGAACATGCACTTTGGCCATCTTGCAAGTTTTGGTGTTGTAATAGGCAGAGGAGAAACCCAAGCATAAGAAGCTGGACAAATACACTGTTTTCACATCAGGGCCTGGTCTTTGTGAGGGGGGGGGGCAATTAGGGCCCCACTTTGTAACATTCTGATCACTTTGTCTTTTCATTCTTCCTTCCAACAAGAGGCAGCAGGTGGAGGGCCCTTGTTTTAACTGCTGTCAACTTTTACCAAAGCTGTGCAGCCACACAGGGATTATGCACTCTTGGAGCACCTGAGGAGCTCCCTGAGGGGTTTGGAGGTGCAGTTGTAACCACAGAAATGAGTTTTACTTCCAGTCGATGCTAAGAAGTTGGTCAAAGCACACAGTAGCTTCAGAGATCAGGATCTTCTTGATCCGCGAAGTTAACGCAATCCGTGTGGTGTCCAGAGTGCGGAGCAGCCTGTGCTGAGCCAGCTTACCGCGTGCTCTCTCCCCAGGCCCGGGCGTCCTGGCGCGCTGTGCTGTACTTTAATCCATTTATCCTTCGGCCTTACTGCTTCAATGCCAACATCTTTCCAGATATTTCTCTCTTTAACATGTTTCAACAGGTTGACCCTGCGCCCAGGGCTTGACATGGCTCTTTGAAATCTCAACATTTGTGGACGTAACCTTGCTTCAAAAGCCCTCTTTTGGGAAAGAGGAGTTGAGCAATTGTTTTCTGTTGGGTGATGGATCTTTCTTTCTAAGCAGGCAGATTTATTTTAAACAGTCGTGTGTTTCCATTCCTAAAGCTTCACCTGGCTGCTTTCCAACGTGGGGCAGAAGATGAGAAACCCTCACTGGAGGAAAACAAATTTGAATGCAGAGTCACTATATGTTGTACCAAATAGAATCATTCTTGCATTTCCTTGATTACATTTTATGTTCGCACATTTATGGAAGCCCTCACTAGGAATTCTTTGTAATTTTTTTAAAAAGACACTATTTGCTTATCATTTCTGAGGTCAAATAGATAGATATGAGCATTTTCTGTTACAAATTTCCCTCAAAACAATAAAGCTCAAGTGTCAGTGGTCTATAAAATGAAACCCATATTGATTTCATAGATGGTAGCTTTTAAATGAAGTGAAAGGACCTTTGTGTAATTAATTCAGTCATTCATTTAGTAATAATTTATTATGTTCCTGTCGCATGCCCTCGCTGGAAGAAATGTCTGCCTATCACTTGTGCCTGTTAAACCAGAGGAATCAAACTACACAACAATGACTGTCATCTATTTGAACACTTTCCACATGCCAGGCACTATGTTAAAGACCCTACACACGTTGCTTTAGGTAATCTTCTCAACAGTCTGTCCAAGTAGAGGTTATTAACTTCATTCTAAACTTCAGGAAGCTGAGCCTCCCGGGGTTTATCATCGCCAACTGGAGGACAAGGGATCCAGGGCTGACCCCACTTGGCCTCATTCCAGGTTTGGGCCTGGAATCACTCAAAGCTCCTGACAAGTCTTCCTCTGAAATAAAGCTGGGATTGGAATCAAGATAAGAAGGTGGAATCTGGGGAACTCAAGAAAGGTAGGAACTGAAGTTACTCTGTGGAATTTATGGCCAGTTTGATTGTGGCTGCTGATTCATTGTCTACATTTTATTAACACTATCTTGTTTTGGCTGGTTTACTTATAAAGCCATCATTCTAATTTTAAGTGATGGTGAATTTATTGCTCTTCTAATCACCAGTCTGAGCTGCTCTATATGACCTTGCAGCTGCTCAGAGCATGGTTACATCTGACCTCTCCTCCCTGACCTCCCCGGTTATGCTGTCCTCTCCCTTCCTGGACTTGTGGGCACAATCATTATCACGCTCATTGCACATTGCTCCTTGCCATTTTTACCATTTTTATCTTGATGAAGAAGGCAGGTCTCTCAGGTGTGCCTCTTTCCTATCCGGGTTGCTGCCCCTCCCCTCGTGTGTCTAACAGGTATTTGCTAATTACAGGACCCTGCTTATGCCTTTGGACAATCACAGCAGTATACAAGGACCTGGAGTTTAGGAACGTGTTAAGTTCTCTTGCAATGGCAAGGCCTTGGCAGGTGGAGAGGCTCTATTGGAACTCACTGCCAGTCTGCTAACCTTCAAAAAGGAGAAAAATGAAGTCCGAGGTTCATAAAAACCGGGGATGTGTTTTACATGGAAAAAGAACTAGAAATTTACTGTCAAGTTCCAGATGCCAAGGAAGCATGAAAGTTACGGTTTAACTTCTTTAACAAACCTGTTCCCAGCAGCTAGAAGGCAGAGACTCTCAGAAAGACCCCGAGTCACTTTGGAAACATGAAGCTGCCTGACACGCAGTAGCACCCAGCCCAGGTCCTCTCAGAAGACTGGGAGAGGGGTGCATGGTGAAGTCTCTGAAGCAGCTTGTGTTATTTGAGTTATAAAAATTCCCCTTGTTCTGAGGCTGTGCATATTTTCTTTCTTTCTTTCTTTTTTTTTTTTTATCGGTACCAGGGATCGAACTCAGGACTGCCTGCTTGCAGGCGCTTATGCCGCTGAGCTAAATCCCCAGCCCCGGCTGTGCATATTTTCACCTATGAAAATGAACACTTGTCATGGGAGTTTTTCACAGGAAGTGAAATATATTTGAAAATCAACTTTAATGATATCATTTCACAATAACAAGGCTTTGCTGATGGCAGGTGTGTGTGAGTCAGGGCAGACACACCTTTGTCTGTAAAAAGACTCTCTAAGTGTGATCCTGACTGTAATGTACCACTGTTTCATCATGTGATGGGGAAGAAAGAAATACCATAGTAAAAATAGGCTGAAGTATTTGTAGTCCAATGGTCAACTTGTAACATCCAGCTAAAGTGAATCAGCGTGGTACTGGGTGGAGGCCCCATCTGAGAATTGTTGCCAGGAGAACTGGAGGGGAAGATGGTGTGTTGTTGATTCTCTCGGAAAAGCTTGTCACACTGGTTTTCCTGATATGAATACGGTTGTTCTTATCATCGGAGTAGCTCGGGACCTCACCGTCACTGAGAATGGCTGTGAATCTCTTTGGAGAGCCCTGGTCTTTACTTTGAGCGTGGCTTGCTGGCTCCAGTACAGATGCCTCAGTCTGCTGGTACAGACCTTTTATTTTGCTGGCACAGACTTTCTAGCTTCCACCACTGGCTGTTGGGCCTTCGAAGTGCAGATCTTTGATACAGACTTGCATGAGACATTGTTGTGGGCTCTGGGCCTCCAGCTGGACTCATGGAGGACATTGTCATGGCTATAGGTCTTCAGCTGGACCCATCAGGTCAGGACACTGCCGTGGAACCCAGGCCCTTGGGTGGACTTTTTGAATCTCTAGTGCATGGACAGATCTGCACTCTTCTGACTCTTCTGTATTTGACTCTTGGGGTGAATGTTACTGAATTGTGTCCTGTATTAAATCTATCCCCTTGCAAACCCTCAATACAACAGTATTCCATGAGACTGATGAAGAACTGAGGGGGAAAGGAAAGCAGTGAACTCATGAAAAGAAATGCTGAAGGAAATTAATGAAGTGTGCACCTAATAACAAACAATTATCAGGCACCTGCTGTTTGCTCAGCACAGCGGCAGGTGTTAGGGAGGCAGTAAAAGGAGACAAAGCTGCTGCCCCAGGTGACTGTGGTGGAGGTATCAGGTCTCCGGTCAGTATTGTAAGTGGAGTTTATTGAATTCACTTCCAGAATATCAGCTTCACTCATTCTCAGTTCATGACATCGCACAGTTAAAATCACACACCACTACAAGGACCCTTGGTGCTGATGACATGACAGCCCGTATCTCTGAGCAGCCTTATTGACTCAGCCCTGCGTTGTATTTTTCTTTCTCAAGTGAAAGCTGGATTACCATGACTCATGGGCAAAACTCAAGTGGGACAAAAGTTCAATTAAAAAATACAACTTTCTTGATACAAAAGGGAGCATAAGAATAAACAGAACTAGAAGGAAAGAGACAGAGGTTTAGATCCCTGCTTCTGCTGTGTAACCCAGGGAAGTTTCCCAGCACTTCATAAGCTCAGTGAACTTTTGTTACGGAGATCATAATGCAAGCTTCAGCACTGGGCTTCCAATGCAGCCCACAAATTCTGACTTGAGTCAGGTTACGTGAAGACTGGAGCTCATCTCATTCTGTGTCTGCAGTGCCTGGCATGTGGACAGCATGTGGTAAATGCTTGTGAAGTATTCGTTGAATGAATGAAGCCATCCAAATGACTGGTCAGATGTCATGATCTGCTTCCTCTCCCAGGTTGCTATACTCAAGCAAATGTTTCATCTTTCCTAACTGGAGGAAAAGCATAAAAAGACTCACGCTTAAGGCAAGATTCACCCCAAACCAGATCCTCCACCATCTGGCATTTGCCAGTGCCTTTGCTGCTAAACAGTGTTGATTCTCAGTTCTGTGGAGTCCTTATAGGTTCTCTGTGCTTGGGTAGAGCAGTTGTTCTGCCTTGACTTACCCCTCAGCCATTACCTCTCACTCTTTTATGTCCCATCTTGTCCCTTTAATTTGGCCTGATGGTCAATTTGCAGAGATTTGGCTTTCTGTTTCTTGGTCCTTTGTTGTAGCTCTCTTATCTCAGGCCCACTGCCCATTATCCACATGACTATAGCTATCAAAACACCAGCATACCCAGGGCAGCATGCCAGGAGAAGGCCAGAGTGGGCCACCTGCCTGATGTCGGCAAGGCAGCCACCAGTGTCACTGTGTTCCCGCCTGGAAGATCCAAGAAGTGACTTCTAGAGCTACACCATCTAGCTGCAGAACTCTGGGGCCACTCCTAGACTTCACATTCTTTGAAGTTAGATGCTAGTGCTAGAACATCTCTCCAGTTATAAAAGTAAAGCATTCAATCCCTGGTACAAAAAAAAGTAAAACATGTTCATTGTAGACAACTTGGAAAACATGGATCATCCATGACTTACTATCTAGAGACAGTTGACACTTAGACCTTGTTTAGTATCTATGAGGTTGGAGCTGTGCCTTGGGGCACAGGTGTTGCATAAGATGCACGGACGTCTTGCTTCCTCAGCAAGGAGGTACCAGCTCCTCTCTCATACAACCCGGAGATGGTAACAGCATCCTATCACAGTAATATTTTACAGTAGTCAACAGACCCAGGGAAGCTGGACCTAGGGAAGCATGCAGGTCCTTGAAATCCATTTTGGAATAAAATGATGTATCCATCAATGAAGCAGTTGGCCCTGTGACAGAGATGGTCAGCTGCCCACCAAAACTCACTCTCCACTTCTGCTGGGTACATGGAGCCTAGGCAGCCCCTGTCAATACATGATGGCTTTGATGGCTCCTTTTGCAGCCAGGTGCGAAGTCCCAGGGCTGCTCCTCAGGGAGACAATGTGAGCCAGGTGATGGGCCCAGGCCTTCAGAAAGTTGGGGTGCTTCTTCCAAACATTGTTCATCTTCCTCTGAAGGCAACTGTCAGGAGCCCCTAGAAGACAGTGAGGTTCCAAATGAAAGGAGCCTGGGCCCCTCATCAGCTACGTTGCAGCTAGGCGCACTTACCAGGCACTACTAACTTAAGCAAGGACTAAGTTCCAGAGTGTTTCAGCCTCACTAATTTTGGGTCTCTTCATTAATGGGTCTTGGGTCACCATAACATTATCGCCGTTGTGGAGTGAGTGAAAGATTGAGTGAACCAATGAAGGTTGTACTGCGATCAAAGCAGCAGTATTCTGGAGGTTCCTACTGTGCTGGAGGCTCCTACAGGAGCTGGGCAGGGAGGATGAACTCACACATCTTGAAAGATGAGCTAGAAGAGGTTTGTGCCTTGGTATTTTTAAAATGCTTATCAGGTTTCTGCTTGAAAATCAACTCATTTTAATCCTGTACTCATAGGGTGATATTTTAAACCTTAAAAGTATCTTAGTCTATTTTCTGTTGCAATTTAAAAAATACCTGAAACCAGGTAATTTATAAGGGTTTATTAGGTCATGGTTCTGAAGGCTGTGAAGTCTAAACTCATGGCTCTAGCATCTGCTTGGCTTCTGGTGAGAACCTTTTCCTAGGTCTTAACCCGATTGGAGCATCATTTGGTGGGTGAGACAGAGCAAATGTGCCAGTTTGGGTTACTTGTCTTTCCTCATAAATACACTTGGAGACACTATCATGACCTTATCTGATTCCAATTTTCTCCCAAAGGCTCCACCTCCAAGTAAAACTAAGATGTGAATTTGGGGATTGAGTTTTCAATACATAAACTTTCAGGGGACACAGATTGGTTCCTGGAAAAAGGAATAGAGATTTTCAAACCACAACTGGTACTGAGCATGGCTCCTGAGCTTGGGTATAACTCAATGGCAGTCGATGCTTACCACAAACAAGGCCCTAGGACTACACAAACAAAAATAACCTGAAGAACCTGGGAAGATTACCAGGGTCGCTCAAGTACACAGAAGTCTTTGAAGCAATATAACCTTCAGGAGTCCAGACTTGGAACCCTCAAGGATTATAAATAGCTCAGTCTTTTCAAATAAGAAATATTCCAGAGATGAGGACATGAAGTCCTTTCTTTAGTATAATACCCCTAAAGGAAAGTCCCTGCTCACATCCAGCTTGTAATTATATAGTCCTCAAAACTTAGTAGCTTTAGTCTCACAATTCTGAAAAGCACACCAGGCTCAGTTGCAAACTCTGGTCAGCCCATCTTTTTATGAAAACATGATACATAATGAATGCAGAAATCCTAGTACATTATTGCTGAATTTTTTAAAAGCACAAGTTAGAAATGCCCCTTAGGTACCTGTATAAATTGGAAATTGTGGGCAAGCAGTGATCTAAACATTTATTCAACTGGGTACCAAACACTTCTCATGCAACTGTTGCTCCCAAAGCATTGCACTCCACATGCCCGTGGGTGCCACGTCCACCATCGTAGCTGGAGGAAGTATGTGCCCTTCCAGTCTCTGCTGGGCCCTCTCTAGTGGACCCCTGAGTTCACTGTCATGACTGAACACCCACGATTTTCATCCAATCATGAAACCCTTACATGAAAAGTAACTCATGCCGCGTGCACGTCTACTGAGTGTGTCATCAGTGGGAATGACTGGGCAGAATGTGAGAGGGGCACGCTGGCGCTTGCCCTGCCCGAGGCAAGGCACATATGTGTATGCTTCGGTGATAGCCTCGCCCAGTGCTTAGAGAGTTTCTGCTTGGTTCTTCTTAGAGATGCTGAGGTGATGGAGGAGGGGACACTAGCCACAGGTCTTGCACATGGTGTCCCTGAGTCTCTGCTGGCTTTCAGGACTGCTATCCAAACAGATTATGCCCTCAGCCTTACACAGGCCTGGAATGCTTTGCTCTGGCATTGCGGGAGACATAGTGAACACTACGATGTGTTGGCCACTGGATGCTCACAGATGGGGAGGTGTTGTAGGCACTCATGCCAGTGTGTTCCCTGGAAGCACAGTGGATAGGGGATGCATGGGGAGCACCCCTTAGCGTGGGGGGCCACACCTGTGATTCCCTCCAGAGCTGCCGTGACCGCCTCTGGTTGCAGCCCTTGCTAAGGTGTCCTGCTTTCTGTCACATCATCTTTCTAAGGTACAGTCTTCTCTGGCCACACCCCTGCTTACACTGCTTTGCACTGACTCCCCATGCCTGCTGGACAGAGAGCGTCCCCGCTACAGCCACACAAGTCTTCTTCTGCCCTCCTTATTTTATAATCCACTCTATTGAAGTATAATTTACAGACAATAATAGTTCAGGAGTTCTGACAAATCTATTCATCTGTGTCATGTCTGTCTCTAGTATCAGCCATAGAACAATTTGCTCCTGTCCCTTTGGTTTCCACTCTGTCTCTGGCTCCTCGGAGACTACTGATCTGTTTTGTGTCACTGTAGTTTTGTCTTCTTAAGAATT